ATCCCCGGGCAACGCCGGGCTCTCCTGCTAGTTTTTTTATAAAACCAGGATAAAAGCACCTTCCCCCGAGTAGTCAGCTTAATTGTTATTTCTTTCTTTCTCAGTAGAAATTTAAATTCAAGTATATTTTTTCAATGGCTAAACTTTCATCGTCAACCAACCCTAAAATTTTATGAATAAAAAATTAAGGAAGTGTAGCCAAATAAAATATACAAATAGTTAAGTACTTTGTATGTTGAGGGAGAAGGATAAACATTAAAACTATTTGAAATATTTATTCCATTCATCAATGAACAACAAAGTACAAAAAACTTAAAAAGGTGCAATTGATTTAAATATCCATCATACTGGATTAAAACGATAATCTGATTAAATAGCTTTAGGCAAGTCATCTAAAAATGACAAACAAAAAGAGCAAGACAGCAGGTTCCAGGATAAAGCTGCCACAGAAAATAGACACATCATGAAGATGTATTAAATTCCAAACCTTCATATATATGAGAATTTGCAACAGGTTGTAGTCAGTTAACTCAAAAAGCCAGCTTGTGTACAAATCTACTCAAAGTATTCCATTTGTCCAGAAATAACCAAAGTTGCTAGAGATACAAAGACTTACAACTGAATCTATATTTCAACTGAATCTATATTTCAAAGTCAATACGCTCATACATTTTTTTTTTTTAACTGCGAGTAGTTATTGTTCCGTTTTTACGTAGATTTCTAATAAGTTTACATTTTTACAAGATCAACTTACACAAAAAAAAACTGTTGTAAAATAAATTACTCATTAGACGTACAGTTTTTTCTTTTCTTTTCTTACTGGAAAGAAGTTCATTTTTTTGACGAGGTATAAATTAAAATTAAAAATTTAAAAATGCGTGTGTGTACACTGTACACACACGCATTTTTCACAGTGTACACTTTCAAATAAGGAAAAAAAACAAATAACGCTACACCTCAGTCTTAAAAAGTTAGAAAAATATCAGAGAATAATAATAATCAGAATGAAATTTTCTGTACTTTTTTAACTTAATGAATTATAAACGTAAAAAAAAAAAGAAGTTTCCTGTATAAAATTTTTATGGTCCCGCCAGAAAAAACAAAAATTTTTTAACCAAAATCCCCATATTCTAAAAAAAAAAAAAAAGGATAAGAAAATTATATCGAAAGAATTTTATGATAAAATTCTTTCGATTCTTCCACTAAAAACACGAATATTTTTTTGACGATAAAATGTTCTTTTTTTTTTTTGTTGTCCTTTGGGCATTTTTTCATCATGTTTCATTTTCAACCTATTTCGCGAATTTTTGGAGGTACCTAGAAGCTATCTGCTATCATCTTCCAAATAAATAAAAGAAATTTAACATCAAAGCTGATATTTAAAATGCGTTTTGAAGTTTGTTTTTTGGTTTGTTTTTTTTTACCATGGTGATTTACTATAAAGAAAAAAAAAGTGGTTGACTAGTTTAAAACACCATTATTATCTTTTGGCAGCATTAGTTGAAACATTCGTAAACAGATCAGTACAAGAGTAGCATAAACCATTCATTCAGTGTAACCTTTAATTTAAGTCACGTGATCTTTATACAGTAGATAAGCTATAATTTTTTTTTTCCTTCTATAAACGATTTCAAGTCAGATCATCTGAAGGTGTAACTTTACACTTTGGTGTAATATTGCAAGTACGTATATAAATAAATAGCCTCGGCGGTAAAGACAGGTAATTTAAATCTGTATATAATCGACCGTTTTACTTTTATTTATTGCTGTATAAACTAAAGACAAAAAATTAAAAAGTAAAATAGAGATGAAAACAAGAAACAAAAATTAAAAAATACAATTGTTGAGGTGAGAAATGAATAAGTAAAGAAAGATGTAAGTAAATGAAGAATATTGTTTGTTGGGATTCAAATTTACGATGTGCAATAATGATGATGACGGAGATGTTGAAAAAACAAATTAAAAAAAAGAAAAATGTGTTTATTAGTTTTAGTCGGGGCAACAACCAATGAATGGCAAATGGTAATTATTTATTTCTGTTATTCTTCGATCTTATTGACAGAAAGTCATTCGACGAAATAAGTAAAAAATACAAGGACGAGTTTGCCATGAAAATTAAATACAACTTTGAAAATCGCTCGGAAACAGTGTCACGTGACACCAATTCCTTTCTTCTTCGTGATACTGTTTTGAAAATGACTCTCGTTTAAAAAATAAAAAAAAGTCTACGAGAGACTTAATTTGTATTGTCTATTATTGTTAATGTTACACCATTAGAGTTGAAAGATTTTTTTTAACCTGCCAACTGATACTTCGAGGATATTAAATTAGACGTAAGGTATAACAACTTAATTCATAATTTTTAACTTTTTCCTCTAAGTACATACGTACGTTAGTTGTATTTTTTAATTTTTATATTGTGATGACAGACAAATTAACGGTAAAAGGTACATTTTACTTTTAGGAGGAATACAGCTCAACAATAATGGGCCTACCAGGACTAAAACACAATTACGCGTGCATGCATATTAAATTGCCATTATGCACATTCCTAAATAAAAACAATATTTCATCACAATGAAGCAACAATGCCTATACAACAATTTTTTACATAATGCATCCGGACCCACCTCCAGTTTCTTTCTACCGACATCAGGCGATACAGACACACTAAAAACATGCATCATTTCAAGACTTAGTGTCCCATACAGTCAACCAAGTATACAATGGACAAATTTGAACAATCACAGGACAATAATGCGTATTTTTTCGCATACCTATGAATACATAAAAATTATTTTTATAATATTATAAACTGAAGCTTTGCGCTGTCTGACATAAGGCCACAATTGTGTATCGGACACTCAATGAAAATCAAACAGAGTTCGCTATCCCATGGATAATTTTATTAAACATTTGAAATTGAAGGGCTCAAAATTCAAAAAGTATCGTCCGCATTAAGTTTTATCATCAATAGTGTTTCGGGTTTTTTTTTAAGGGAGAAAAAGAGTTACTCTGAAAAGTGAAAATGGAGTAAAAAAGGCTTTTAAAACGACTTGTCAAATCCATGGTATTTATTTTTTTTTATTTACAGTTTACACACAGAACACAGGATATGGCAATACTGACACACGCACCTGATCATAGAAAAAAATAGTAGCTGGGCCTACTACATAGTAGTAGTAGCAACAATAGTTTAAGGTTTATTTATTCCGTTTGTTTAGAGATTTTTGGTTTTCTAATGAACTGAACAATAGGAACAGGGTTTTAATTTTTTTTAGCTTCACAAAACTAAAAAAACTAACAAATTATTTTTTTATTCTCATTTTAATTGTGATGAATTCAACACTTCACAGCATCGCATCATTCAGTGAATTACAAATAATTTATAAAGTTAAAAATCAAATATTTTAGTTTTTTACATTTATAAACACAGACAGAAAATACAATTATCTTTTTTTTACTATTAAAAAGGGCTTTTTTTATTCTTCAATGTGAAAATCATCACAAAAGAAGACTTTCTTCTAATCAGGTTGATTACTCGACTATACAATAGATAATTTAAAAAAAAACTGACCCTTTCCGGACGAATTGTCGAAAATCGAAATCGTTTCACACTGTCTGTGTTGTCTGCTTTTTTAAGATGCGGCTGTGTTGTCAAGAACTGTTCATTTTTAATTTTAATTACGATAATCATTATTTGAAATGAGATTCAAATAGAAAAGAAATCATTCTATTCATGTCAATATTTAATTTTATTTATTAATTTAATTTTTAATTATTTTGTGACAAGTCTGGCGAAAAAGATCGTGTGTCCATTTTATTTTTGTGTAACCGGAACCACTAGCCACTGATTGTAGAAGGGGGTGCTGAAAAGTTCTCAGCCCTCCTCAAATTTCAAAGATTCTGACTAAATGATCAAACATTTAAAAATAACAATAATAAAATAAATAAAATCCCTCCTTGATCGAACAGAGAACATTTCAACAGTGGTATTTTTAATTATTTAATTGATTAGTAAAACAATTGTGATAACGATTTTAAACTACTATGTGTAATTAATTAGCAAAGAAGGGATCCATTCTAATTCATAAAAGTTAGTGACACCATAAATTTAAAAGCCCTACGAATGATTATGAACTAACAGCATTTTGTCCCCAATCAAAATATCATGGTCATGAAAAAAATACAGTTACTTGTTTTATGATGTACGAAATTTAGTAGCACATTAAATGAATGGAAGAATGAATTAGATGATGAGTGAAAGATGATGATAAAAGTTGGATTTGTATTGAGGTTCGAAACCTGAATATAGCCATAACAGCTGAAATTGATCGCATTAGAAGAAAAGGGCAAAAAGAATGAATGAATGATTGAATAGCAATTATCTGACTGTTAAATGTTAATATTTAGCAAATAACAATAACAGCAACAACAGATTCGACAATCGAATCAAAACAGGCTCCTTTTTTACTGATAAATTTCACATAGATGAGTGATTAATTAAAATAAAATCCTTTAGCAACATTAGCATTATGACATTTTAGTACATGGTATATAAATGCCTAATACATATTTATTGCTCATAAATGAAAATGACATCAAACGTAACAAATTGTTATATTTTTTTACATCTTGATATTGAACGACGCGAAAAGTGGTTTTCTCCTTTTAAGATGAAAAATGACATTCATTTAGTCGTCCGTAAAGAATAACACAAAAAGTTAACGAAACACACGAATGATGAATTACAAAATGTGACGAATGTTTATGGACTTAAAATACGAAAAAAGAAAAGACAAAACAAAAACTAAAACAAATGAACTGAGATGGTTTTTTGGTACGAGACATGGCAGTGTTGAGTACGATTGCGATAAGGTTGTAGCTAACGCACGGTAGGTGATAACAAATTAACAAGGACAGTGAATAAAAATCTACAAGTAATAATAAATAGAAATAATACGATAATTTTGAAGTTGTTTTGGGTTGATAATAATTACCTTGGATTTTGTGTATGTGTGTTTTATCCGCTCGCACTAGTGTTTAACAGAATCAATTCCTTGCAGAGAAATCAGTCTCTTTAAAACAGAAGCTAGCGCACTATTGTAGAGAGCAATATGATTGGTCGAGCGACGAATAGAGGGAGATATAAAGTAAAATAAGGCGAGAGGAGAAGCAGTCTGATAGAAATGGTAAGCAACAAGGAAGGAGGAGAAGAGTTTGTGATGGAAACAGATTAAGATTTTATAATTAAAAACAAACAAATAATCCATAGAGAATGCACGCGAAGAGAGAGAAGAAAGATTAGCGAGAAGGAAAGAGGGAGGGTAAGTAGAAAAGAAACGGAGAAGTTCTGCTTGAAGAGAAAGGGAAATAAAAAGATAAAAATTAAATGAATAAATAGGAACGATGCTAGCGAATGAATGAAAGATAAAAGAAAACTAGAAGGAAATTAATCTATTGAAAAATCAAGTGTTCCGCACGAACACAAAGATGATGATGAACAAATAAAAAGGAACAAGAAATAAAATAAATGCATTGAAAAAGAATGACAGACGAGTGAATGGAATCTGGAGAAAAGCCGATGTGTGTCTGTAATAATAATCATTTTCTTTTTTCTTTTGTGAAATGTAAATTTTAAAACCAAAACTTGTTTAAAATTTTATTTTGTATTTGTCTCAGGATCAAGTTATTTCAATAAAAAACCTGTGTAATTTTGAGCTTGTAAGTAAATTTTTCAAAAATGACTTTAAAGACAGCTCATTTTTTTTTTTTTTTTTTAACTTTTCTGGATCCCGGGACACTATTGACAACAGGAGATTAAATGACATTAAAAAAAAATGTTTTTTAAAGGCCCATAATTATTTTTAGCTAAAGTTTAACTGAGAGCTAACTTAGAATAATTTAGGATTAAATTAAAATAAGTAACCTGAGTCAGAATTTCTGAAATTGTTTTTTTTTTTTTGTTTTTTTGTTTTTTTTGTTTGTTTTTGTTTTTTTTATCCCCGACTCTTTTAAGAAGAGTATGATGCCAATCATATCGGCGAATCTAAGATGGTGGCAAGGGTCTTTAAAAAAACACAAAAACAAACCAAAAAAAAAAAAAGTTACCCGATACCAATTTAGTAATTAGTTTCATTCAAGATGCCGTTTTTAAATTATAGGCAAAATAAAAAAAGAAAAACAAGGGAATATTCATATTCTAGAAAAAAAAGTGTTTCTCTCCAAAATTCAATTTTTAAAATACTTCCATAAAATTTAAAGACGATGTGTTAGTTTGTGCCTTTTAATACGTCGTGTGTAGGGATTTATTAGCTTAGATGTGGCACAAGGCTGCAGGTATGTAGCACCATGTGAACATCGAACTTACTGCTTAGTCGTAATTGATTTAGTAGTGAGACAAACTTTCTAACCTTTTGCTGTACTAGGGTTGCCTCCCTTACACTGGCGACGCCGAGTGACAAAATTTTTATTATAACAAAAGCAGACTCCTAAGAACTTTTTACAAAGCCAAGAGTTGAAAAATCAACTCCGTGATCGGCAGAGTAAACCAATAATCATTAGAAAAAATACTAGCTCTGTTATAGTTGTTACATTTACATACACATTTTCTACTGTAAATGTAACAATTATTATGAGGCAGAAAGATTTACATATGAAACCCTTAAGAAATTCAAATATTAATTTTATATATGTCATGATTTTTGACAGCACGGGTAAACCATTTTGTAAATAAATGCTTTATTATTTTATACATTTATTTGTAATATTATTATCAATGAACTAAATTAAACGAATTAAGCGAGATTAGCTCCTGAGCAGTATTTCCTCTTTCCATTGTGTCGAGTTAAGGGTACACCTTGACATTTTTGGTGAGGTAGTCACATACAAAAGTGCATGGGTTCCTTCATTAAATCAATCACAGCACAATTTGTGACCTTGTGAAGAGGTAAATAGATGTTACAAAACAAAAAATTTAGTGATATGGTGCCCAATTGGTTCTTTTTTTTTCTTTGGATTAAAGCTTAAGTTGTAGGGTCAGTCTAACCAGATTAAAAGTGAAAAATTAAAATTTGAGTATTGTGCCAATAAATGCAACATAACACGAAGAAATTATTTTTTTTACATAGACAAAAAAGAAAATTAGATTGAAATAATCATATATTTATGCACATATTAACATTTGTATTTATATGGGAAACATTGAAAAAAAGTTAAAAAATTCAAATGTTCAACAAAATTTTCCATTTGTTAAAGGGTAGTTCATAAAGTCTTATGCCTTGGTCAATATAAAATGTATATATGTGTGTGTGTGTCTGAAACACATTTTAACGGAGTGTATGCATGGTTGCTGACTGAATGTGTGTGTGTAGGTGAAGTACATTAGTAGAAACATTGTGTGTGTGAGTGCTAATACATGAAACCTGATTATAGTCATTCCAAAAGGAAATAGACATACAGATAGATGATCAGACTTTCTTTTTTCACAGCTATGAATATTTCTTTGGGTTGTGTGAATATTCCTTTGAATAGTATGTAGTCATCACTGACTGAGGTGTTGTCATGATAATGAGAGAATTTTGGTCAGGTGTTTACAGATCCAACCATCAGTTATCAACAGGTGATCCATGTCCGGCTGCTGACAGGGTTTTTGTTGTATGTGTTTTAATTGGTGTTTATATCTATAGCTATCCTGATCACGTGATCAGCTCCAAATGAAAGCTTTTCAGTTTATGCAGGATAGTACCCAGTGATTAGTTCAATTGGAGTTCAAATGTACAGATGTAGTCAGAAAAATAGCACTTAACTGTACTGTCCAATCAAATTCCAGAAATCACCTATTTAATTTTGGATACTATTTTTTTATTGATTTACACAAAAGTTTTTGTTTTAGTGATTCTGATCCTACTTATGTGTGGGCATTTCTTACTTATTTGTGTTTCAACTATTGGTTGTAAAATATAGGATTTCATTTTCTACCAAATTAAAAAATGTCTGTTCATCAAATTTAAGAATTGGTTTAAAAATGTTATCTTGAAACTAATAAAAAATGAATCTAATGCACATTCTAATGAAGAATATGTTAAAAGTTTTACATACTGATTTTGTCTATTCTAAGTTATAACAAAACAAGGGATAAAGTCTCCTTCATTTACAGAAACACTTAAATTGGAAAATATTTAACTGAAAAAAATTACATATTGGAAAAGAAGCAAATCAAGATATGTTTTAGTATAGCATATAACTATGCGGGAAAGCATAAGAATCAAGCATAAGAGATCTTGTTGTTAAAATCCAGTTTAATAAATACATACATACATATACGCACACACACACAAACAAACACACACACATATATATATATATATATATATATATATATATATATATATATATATATAAATATAAAGTGAACATAAAGTCAAGGCCTGGCGACAGTCTGTTTCATGCTATATGCAATCGTCAGGCCTGTCGTCTAAGTGTTGACTTTATGTTCACTTTTATATTTACACAACTCTATCTCTGATATTGAGCACTTTATCCCATAAATATAGCACACCTTAAGACTATATTTCTTCATATATATATATATATATATATAAGGAAAATTTTTCTTCACCAATGCATTTTGTGCTTTGAGTGATTTTAGGAATGAAGTGCATTGATAAAAAAAACTTTTCTATTTGTTTTTATGTATATTGTCTTTACAGATATATTTGATTTATATCTGAATTTTTTACACACATACACACACACACATATATATATGCATTATATATATATATATATATATATATATATATATATATATATATATATATATATATATATATATATATAGTTATTGGATTATTATATATATATAACTTTATATATTTCAATAAAAGGTGCAATTAATTTACAAATTCATGAATTATTCATACAAAAATAATAAATATGAATAATTCATGAATTTTTTTATATATATATATATATATATATATATATATATATATATATATATATAAAGTTATTGGATTTATTATAAAACTGTAGTCTGGAGTTATTATGCAGATTAAACTAAGTTTAAGTCCTCTGAAATCTAATAAAAATTATTTTTTCTTTTTTTCCATTAATGTATGTTGAAACATGCGTAATGGGAAAACAGAAAATAATAAAGTTATTAAATGAGGAATAATCCACATTGGAGATATCAAAAGAGCTTTGCAAAGATCATCAAACAATAAAGGGGGCTGTTTCAAATATAAATAAGTTGTGAACTAGAAACAAAGGAAAAGGCTTTAAGAACTTGTCTCCTTGAGGGTAACATAAACTAAAGGAAGTCATAGTGAAACAACCACTTTTGACCAGTGCTCAGGTCTTTGAATGGTCTGGAATTCAGGGAGTCAAGAAAGAAAAAAGGTGTAGAATACTTGAGATCTCAAATTGAGATGTGTCAAGGAATCTCCTGGGCAAACTCCTCTCAATAAAGCAAATATTTTTGAGAAGAAGGGTCACTATATATTATTTGCATTTGCTTTACTGACTTATCATGTATGTTTGTTATTTATTCTATTATAGCTGTTGATCAATTATTGATGATTTGATTACCTTGTTATGAGAGTTTTCATAATAAATCCAATAACTTTAATAAAATATGTTGAATAACCTAAAAAATTAACTCTGTCTTTGATTTGATGTTTAAATTGTTTAAAATTTAACAAAAATTGTTCAAAGCAAATTTCAGTTATTGAGGTCTATGGGATTTGCATAACAAAGGGATTGTATATGATTGATGTTATATTCAGCACTCTGATTTGAGTCAGGGTCAGTTTGGTCCAGGAGTTATGTTATCATAATTTTCTTGTCTCCTTATATTCTGTCACTATTCCTTTTCCTTCTTTTTTTCTTTCTTGTCTCCTTATAGCCTGTCACTATTCCTTTTCCTTCTTTTTTTCTTTCTTGTCTCCTTATACTCTGTCACTATTCCTTTTCCTTCTTTTTTTCTTTCTTTCAGTTCTGAGTGTCAATGAAGAAAGAAATATGACAAAGTGGAAAAAGTTTTCATTTGACTTATTTTTCCTTTAGGACTTCATAGGCCTAAGTTTATTGATGCAACTCCACATGTTAATAAACAAAAGAGAGATGCTGAGAATTTTAAATTTAAAAATATTTCTTTTTTATTACAATTTCATATTCAAACAAAAAGATCATAAAATATTTCAAAATAGAAAAAGCAGTCCTTCCTCACAAAACCAATGAATAAAAAAAATATATATTGTTCTACCTCCAAATCTATTACAAATACAATTGAAAAGAATTTATCTATGCTCAACATAAAATTTGTCAAAAATACGTTTAAAATAATAAAAGACTTAATTAATATAAAACTAAATAATAAGCTAAGACTTGAAGGAGGAATTTATTATTACCTGTAATAACTGCTACAAGTAATACATAGGAGAAACCTCAAGGAATTTAAATAAAAGAGTCTATGAACAGAAAACGGATCTTTTACAAAAAACACATTAAATGCATTAGTTGCTTACTGTAATGTGACTGACCACAAATTTGACTTAAATAATTCTACACTAATTAAAAAAGAAAACAATTTATTAAGACAAAAAA